ATTTTGAGTTTTTTTTTTTCTTTTTTGTTTGAGAACAATCATTATTTTGAGGTTGATGAGGCAAAGTAAGGTTTTGCAAGCACCTCCAAGTGTTGTATTCGATGCATGGTGATACCGAAAACTTCACTCATATCCAAATCCTTTGCTTCAATCCCATATGGAAGCTCCCAATCAAAGCTATGCAGAAGCTGAGCCAAAGCAAGTTCAATCGTGGCTATCCCCATTGTAATACCTGGACAAATCCTTCTTCCAGCTCCAAATGGAATGAACTCAAAATTTTGCCCTCTGAAATCAACATCGCTGTTCATAAACCTTTCTGGGTCGAACTTTTCAGGCTCTTTCCACGATTCTGGGTCTCTCCCGATGGCCCAAGCGTTCACAAAAAATCTTGTTTTGGCCGGAATGTCGTAGCCTTCAATGGTGATGTCTTCCATCGATTCTCTTGGAACCAGAACCGGCGCCGGCGGATGCAGCCGGTGTATCTCCTTCACCACAGCTTTCAAATATGGCAGTTCAGAAACATCCTTCTCCAGTACAACTGTTCTGTCGCCCATGATGCTTCGAACTTCGTTTTGTGCTCTCTCCATTACCTTTGGATTGGTTATGAGCTCAGTCATCCCCCAATCAAGGATTATAAATGTCGTGTCTGTTCCTGCAACAAACATGTCCTAGGATATATCCCAGAAAATTGGTAAGATATTGGGTAAAATTTAAGTAAATAGACAAGTAATTTAATGGCAAAAGTTGGAAACAGGGGAGTTTACAGGGCAAACACAGGGGAATTTACAGAGAGGGTGAAGTTTCCAGTAGCTATATCCCAGAGAATTGGTAAGATATTGGGTCAGATTTAAGTAAATAGACGAGTAATTTAATGGCTAAAATTGATTAGTTTTGATGGTATCAAATATGCATGGATGTGGGATCCTTAACAAAAAAAAATAAGGCAAAAACAGGGGAATTTGTGAAGTTTTGAGTGGGTATACCAAGATGACGGCCTTAACATTATCCATGGTGAGGGGAATTTTGTCATCAGATCCATTCTTCTGGATATCAAGCAAAACATCGACAAGATCCTTGGCTTCTCCCAAGCTTCTCCTCTCGGGGCTGAGATGTTCCTCTATAACTTGGTCAAATATTCTATCGAAGCCTTTAAAGGTTCTCACAAGCCTCGATTTCATCCCCGTCAAAGTGTTAACAAACGCCAAGGAAGGGAATAAATCTCCGACGCTAAAACCGCCGAGCAAAACTTGGTACTCCTCGAGCAGTTCTTGAAACCCATGAAGATGGTACTCTCCCCCGCCGGAGAATTCCCGGCCGAGCGCCATCCGGCAGAGCACATCGTTGGCGTACAGAGCAAGAATCTTGGTGAGATCTAATGTTTCGGGGTAGGGCGATTGGGCGACTCTGTGGACCAAACGGGCCACTTCTTGTTGCCTAACGGAGGCGTAGGATTGGACCCTTCTGGCGCTGAGGAGCTCGAGGATGGTGATTTTTCTGATGTGGCGCCAGTATGAGCCGTAGGGGGAGAAGACGATGTCGGTGCAGTTGTAGAAGATGTGTTGGGCGGAGTGGAGGAAGGGGCGGCTGCAGAGGGCGAGGTCGTGGGTTTTGAGGGCTGCTTCGGCTAATTTGGCGGAGGAGATGACGACGGTGGGGATTTGGCCGAGGCGGAGGAGAATGATAGGGCCGAATTTGTGGGAGAGACGGCGGAGAGACAGGTGGGGGAGGTGGCCCAGCTGGTGGAGATTTCCGATTAAGGGAAGCCTTGGTGGGGACGGCGGGAGATTGAACTTTCTCTCGGCTTCTAGTTTCAATTTGGGGATTAGAATTAGGAAGAGAATGAAGAGGATTATGGCTGCTGAGAACCAGGAGATGAAAGCTTCCGCCATGGCCAGAAGCAGAGCCAGAGCCAGAGGGTTTCTTCAAAGGGAGTGAGCGGCAGATACTTTCGGAGCAGAGCACGGGTATTTATTTATATTTATATTCTTCATTATATTTGTTCTCATAGCATTAAAAAAATAGGCAAAAATACATTTTTGGTGACAAGGTTTGGGATAGGTATCAATTTAATAACGGAAGTTTCAAAAGCTTTTGATCCTTAAATTTCAAAGTGATGTATCCCATGAGTGTTAAAAGTTTAAAATTTGGTTTGAAATGGTCCTTGACCATTCTTTATCCAATTGACTTAATGAGTGACTGAACTTTTTTAATTTGCTGTGGTCCCTAACTAATCACTTGTTAATTGTCAAGTCATTTTTTCGTTAAGTCAACGATCAAAGAATACTTAGGAATCAGTTAAAATAAATTTTCAAACTTTAGGAACTGTTTATTTTGAAACTTAAAAGAACAAATTGACACCTACCCCGAGACAAAAAATGTATTTTTTCCAAAAAAATAATAATAAAAAAAACCTCCGTCCACTCACATATCGCAAGTGTGGTCAATTCAATTCTAACACAATGGAGTAAACAAAAAGACAAAAAAAAGGACACTCTCTGGCAATTTCTTCTTCCCTTTGCCAAAAAAGAAAAATAGTAATAATAAAAAAAATTATTCTTCCCTCTTGCTCAAGTTGGTCCCTTCCTGTGGAAAATGATAGCATGCCAATGGAGAAATTGAAAGGTGAGCTTATTTTAGCAATTATACCACTAGGTGAACTAATTTGGAGTCGGTAAATTAATGGAACTAAGATTAATATACACCAAAAGTTGAAATTAAAGTTTAAGAAGCTAAGACACCTGTTATAATTGAACTTGGCTGGCCAGGAATTTTTAATAGTACCATAAATGTAGAGAGAAGATTAACGTTTCATCTAAAATAAAATAAAATACATTAAAGAAATTGATTTCATCTAGACACCCATCTAAATTTTCTATTTGTTTTCAGTAAAATATATAAGGATGAGAATCGAACTCACAATCCTTAATTAAAGATATATGTCAATTACGGCTATGCTCGTTTTGACTATAAAAAATTATAAGTATATGTAAAAAGTTAGAATATTGACAATATATGTAAAAAGTTAGAATATAAAATTTTGTCAATAGATAAACTAATTTGGAACCAGTAAATTAATGGAACTAAAATCAATGTATTCCAGCAATTGAAATTAAAGTTTAATGATAGAGGTCGAATGTTGTTAACCAAGAATTTTTAATAATACCACGAAGATAGAGGTGGAAGATTAACCTTTGATCTAAAATAAAATAAAACATATTAAGAAAAATTACATTTGTACTATATTTGGAAAAATGAAAAATAGTGTTGTTTGTAAATTTTAAAAAACTATATGAATATGACTAATTTGAAACTGACGAGCTGATGATAGTAAAATTAATAAACTACCTATGACGTCCTCTAATCCTCTAATTTAAAGGTCGAACTTACATTCTATATATATTTTTTGTTACATCTACACTATATGTCTTGATACATTGAGTTATATATTTAAGTTGATATCTTACCCAATTTTAGCGGTCAATTTTCAAAACTGAAAACTGACCATATCAGACAGCAAAAATTTTGACCTAAAAATTGATCCGATCGATTCATATAAATCCCTATATAATTTTACTAAGCGACAAGAAATTCTTAGTAAAAACATGAATAGGCAAAAAATTTTGATTGTATCCGTTGGTCAAAATTTTGTTTGATGTTTCAACTTGGATCTTCTAAAATTCAGATGGCTTTTTTTTGTTCTTGATTCATTATATTGTCTTCTCATTTATGACTTATCCGTAAGCAAAAAGTCTAATTCCCAACGTTTGTTTCTAAATGACACATCTTGCATGTCTATGTATCTAAATATAAGTTGCATGTCAATGTATCTAAATATAAATCAATAAAACAATAATTCAGTGACACATTAACTTTCTACTAACAAAATAATTTATTTTTCAAAAAAATTTTAATTGAAAATTTTGATTACCTTGGGTGAAAACTTCAACATTTTAAAATATTAAGGATCAAAATCGAAAACTATTAAAAGAAAAAAAAAAAGGCCCACTTGCTATATTAAGCCCTTCTCTTACCACCAAAGAAAATAAAAATTCCCACTCAAAAAAAGAATTTACTTTCATCTCCGCTTTTGAGCTTAGGCTCATCTTCTAATTTGTCGATCAAGTTCACATGGCTCAAAAAATAGAAAAGTTGGGTTTATATAAAAGTTTGAAGAACTATATAGCATAAATTAAAAATTAATATATTTTTATGAAATGTCACTAACTTTTTATTATTATTCCTTCAAATGTAGTATAAATTTGACTATTTTTTTAGGTAGGGATGAGAAGTTCGAACTCATGATCTCCTGAAGCTCAACAAAATAAGACCTTATCAAACAAGTATGTTTTGCAAAAACAAAGCAATTATCAAACCCTTCATTAGCCATTGATTATTTGAATTTTGTTCACTTAGCAATGGATTTCATTTTGAAATGTTAAGTATGAGCTTTATCTGTTTTGAAAAAAAAAAAGAATCCCTTAATTTTATAAATTATTTTTAAAGAACCGTTTGAATGACACATATTTAATAATAATGGTCAATTTGAAATTATTTTAAGACCTTTAATTTTAGATGTTGGCCGTGAAAAATACGATCACTTCTTGGTATTATTGGTTCGATATGGTAAATATATTCAAATTTTTAATTATGGTTATCTAGATTAATGCATTGATAGATGAAGAAAAAAAAAATAATAAATTAAATTTATTCAATATAGATGTAGGATGTAATTATTACTTTGAATGAAGGGTTTATTTTTAGTTAAAAAAAAGATGAAATTTAAATGGGTTGGATGTAAATTGAGAGGCGTGAAAGTATCCTTAACTTATTTTTCTACATAACGTATGATGTCAAATCAACCATAACCATACGAAGGATTTAAAAAATAATGCCAACTTTCTTTCAAATTCTTGGTATACCTTTCACTATCTTTACAAACACCCTTCAATGTAGTTTGATGACCCTTTTGCTTTAATTTTAGTTTTCTGTTTTAAAAAAAATTATATTTATTTTTTACAATTTAGTTGGTATGTTCTTCTTCTCTCAAAAATTATTTTTGAATTTATAACTAAATTTCAAAAACAAAAATAGTTGTTTTCTTCAAACTTTGGCATAATTTTGAAACTATTTATAAGAACTATTAAAAAAAATTGAGACATAGTTGTAAGTAATGTTTTTAAGCTTAGTTTTTAAACCAAAAAATGAAATGGTTATGAAAGGAGATTTAATTATTAGGTAAATTTTAAAATAAAAAATATTTTTTAGTGTAAAAAAGAAGGGTAAAAATAGTGTTTACCATCTAAAATAAAAGATAAAATAATTACAAATAAGTCATAAGATAACTAGATGAGGGTCTATTTGGTAGACAATCTGTATTTTGTTTGTTGTGCGATCCAACCTATGCTGAGTTGCTGATCTCAAAGAGATATGTTTATTGCACCACACATGTAGATTATCAACTGAGTGTGAAAAATGAATTATTTCCTTGACAAAATAAATAAATTGACCAAATGCAAAGCCATTTTATTTAATTAAAAAACTACACCACAAAATAAATAGAAATAAGAAAAACTAAAGTAAAAGTACATATAATATAACAGGAACATTAATTAACTAATTATTAGAAAATACTTGCTCCAAGGAGCTTCTTTACTAACTTATTATTATTTAATGCTAACTTATTATTTTGAGATTATGAGGCAAAGTAAGGTTTTGCCAGCACCTCCAAATGTTGAATTCGATGCATGGTGATACCAAAAACTTCACTCATATCCAAATCCTTAGCTTCAATCCCATTTGGAAGCTCCCAATCAAAGCTATGCAGAAGCTGAGCCAAAGCAAGTTCAATCGTGGCTATCGCCATTGTAATACCTGGACAAATCCTTCTTCCAGCTCCAAATGGAATGAACTCAAAATCTTGTCCACTGAAATCAACATCTGTGTCTATGAATCTTTCTGGGTCGAACTTTTCAGGCTCTTCCCACGATTCGGGGTCCCTCCCAATGGCCCAAGCGTTCACAAAAAATCTCGTTTTGGCCGGAATGTCGTAGCTTTCAATGGTGATGTCTTCCATCGATTCTCTTGGAACCAGAACCGGCACCGGAGGATGTAGCCGGTGTATCTCCTTCACCACAGCTTTCAAATATGGCATCCTAGAAAGATCGCTCTCCGATACCAATCTTCTGTCGCCCACAATGCTTCGTACTTCCTTCTGTGCTCTCTCCATTGCCTTTGGATTGGTTATGAGCTCAGTCATCCCCCAATCGAGGATTATAAATGTCGTGTCTGTTCCTCCAACAAACATGTCCTACAATATATCCCAGAAAATTGGTAAGATTCAAGTAAAAAGACAAGTAATTTAATGGAAAAAATGTTTAGGATCCCGCGTCAAAAACGTCGAAGACATAAAAGAGTTTATAAGATATAAAGGCTACTCATTTCGATGGGATCAATATGCATGGAGCTTAACAAAAACAGGGGAATTTAAAGAGAGGGTGAAGTTTTGAGTAACTATACCAAGATGATGGCCTTGACATTATCCATGGTGAGTTGAATTTTGTCATCAGATCCGTTCTCCTGGATATCAAGCAAGACATCGACAAGATCCTTGGCTTCCCCCAAGCTTCTCCTCTCGGGGCTGAGATGTTCCTCTATAACTTGGTCAAATATTCTATCGAAGCCTTTAAAGGTTCTAACAAGCCTCGATTTCATCCCCGTCAAAGTGTTAACAAACGCAAAGGAAGGGAATAAATCTCCGAGGATAAAACCGCCGACCAGAACTTGGAACTCCTCCAGCAATTCTTGAAACCCATGAAGATGGTACTCCCCCCCGCCGGAAAAATCCCGGCCGAGCGCCACCCGGCAGAGCACATCGTTGGCGTACAGAAGCAGAATCTTGGACAGGTCCACGGCGTCGGGGTACGGCGATTGAGCG